GTGATGATTGTGCTGCTGCCGATGATGATGATGCTATTGTTCGTGGACGCCATGATGCCGATGCTGATGATGATGACGACGTCGATGATGATGCTGATGATGCTGATAATGATCATGGTGTTGATGATCATGATGATGGTGATTGTGGTGATGAGGATGGTGATGGTGGTTGTGATGGTGGTGACGACGATGATGCTGCTGATGGTTGTTGTGGTGGTTGTTGTGATGATGACAATGGTGGTGATGATGGTATGATGATGCTGGTGATGTCTTTGATGACAGTGATGTCGATGCATATGGTACTAAGGATTATGCTGGTGACGAGGATGCTGTTGATGATGAGGATGACGATGCTGATTATGCAAATGATGATGATAGTGTTGATGACCACGATGACGATGATAATGATGATGCTGCTGCTGATGATAAGGATGATGATGATGATTGTGATGATGACGAGTATGATGATGATGTTGATGATGATGATAATGGTGGTGGTGATGATGATGATGATGATGATGATGATGATGATGTTGCCGATGCTGATGATGCTGATGATGATGAGGAGGATGATGGTTATGCCGATGACGATGAGGAGGACGAGAAGGAGGAGGAGGAGGAGGAGGAGGAGGAGGAGGAGGGGGAGTTCCGAACAGCTGCGTTGAAGGAATACCCCTCTGAGCTGTGCAACTTGCTGGCTCGATGTATGTGGGACGGGGTTGAGGCCAGGACGACGGTCGGCCCTAGGACTTAGGAGGTCCCTCAAGAGGCTCTCGGGTTTTATATTCCCCTTGACCCATACTGTGAGTTCGAGCGAAAGCATGATTGTGCCCGAAAGTGGGGCAGAGGTGACAGCTCCAGCGAATCTGGCAGCGACCGCTGAACGGCGGTGGCGGGTGTGAGGAGGCCCCGCTTCGCGCCTTGCCGCGAGCCGCCGCCCGCCCGCACATTATCATCATGCAAGCTGTATTCGATACGCTTCGAACATTCATCATGCTGGAAACCGTAGAAACCGTAGGGGGAGGAGGAGGAGGAGGAGGAGGAGGAGGAGGAGGAGGAGGGGGAAGGGGGTGTGGGGAGGCTCAGGATAAGGACAAGGACGCTTGTAACGAGAACGAGGAGGAGACGCACGAGGAGGTGGAGGAGGAGAAGGAGGAGGAGGAGAAGGAGGAGGTGGAGGCGCACGAGGGGAGGAAACGGACGAGGACGAAGCCTCTGTCCTCGTCTTCATCCCTTCATCCTCCCTCTATCTTCTCCTCCTCCTCCTCAGCGCCCTCCTCCCCCTCCACTTCTACACACGGGTGGGCGAGGACGCGGAGGAGAAGGAGGCGAGGAGGACGAGCAGGATGTTGTCACCACGGTGCCCCTGGGGCCGGCTCTTCCTCCCGAGCCGCCCTGTTGGAGGCCCTCCCCCGCGCGGCCCCGATAGCGCCCCCCCCCGCGTGGCCCCTCCCCGTGTGGCCCCGCTAGCGCCGCCCTGTTGGAGGCCCCCCCCCTTCCGTGCGTGGCCCCGATGGCGCCCCCCCCAAACGGCGGCCGGCCGAGATTGAGCAAGGAAAGCCGCGCCGCCGAGGAGCCGCGGCGTCGGAGGGCCCGTGCCCGCGGGGCCTGCGGGGCCTCCGGCTGCCTCTCGGTCGAGTGGTCCCGGGCCCGCGGGGCCTCCGCCCGAACCGGCGAGTGCACAGGGTACGGTTGTATTCAATCTACGGCGATAGCCTTCCCAAGGGATTGCCCTTGCGATAGTAAGGATCCAGTATGGATACCCCTGTGCGAGGAGGAGAAGGAGGAGAAAGAGGAGGAGGAGGAGGAGGAGAAGGAGGAGGAGGAGGAGGAGGAGGAGGAGGAGGACGAGGAGGAGGAGGAGGAAGAGGATATGAGGCGGAAGAGGAGGAGGAGGAGGAGGAGGAGGCGGTGGAGGAGGAGCAGGAGGGGGAGGAGGAGGGAGGAGGGAGGAGGAGGAGGAGGAGGAGGGAGGAGGAGGAGGAGGAGGAGGAGGGAGGAGGAGAAGGAGGTGGAGGAGGAGGGGGGGGAGGGAGGAGGAGGAGGAGGAGGAGAAGGAGGAGGAGGAGGAGGAGGAGGAGGAGGAGTGGGAGGAGGAGGAGGAGGAGGAGGAGGAGGAGCAGGAGCAGGAGCAGGAGCAGGAGCAGGAGCAGGAGCAGGAGAGGGAGGAGGAGACGCCGTGGAGGGGAGCCGAGAACCGCGTCACAGCGGCACGGCGGCGGCTGGCCCATGCGAGGCGTAGGAGAAATCACGAGGGAACGTTCTTCGCCATGTTCGGCCTCTTTGGGCTCTTACTGTCAACCAGAATAGTAAGCATGATCAACATCCCAAGGGTACCCTTGCATCCTTGCCTCATCGGTCATCTTCGGCCCATCCTCTCAACCACTTCCGATGGCCAGCCCCGCTCTAAGAGCCTCGGCATGGGCGTCCAAGGCTCTCGTATCTCTACCGCGCATCCTCACTATATGAGTCGACTGTACGCCTCTGTGTGGCTTGCGATCGGCACCGCTGTGGCCTGGGGAGCACGACACTGTCCTCGTCGGACCTCCTCGGCGCGCGGTGGAGAGCTCTGTCAAGGTCCTCGCCCGCCTTCCGGGGTGCCCCGCAGGTTGTCGGTTGCAAACCACACCTTTTGCAAACCACACCCTCTGGAGCCGAAGACCTAATGACGGTCGGGGATCTTGGCTCAGCGTGTCGCTCCGCCATTCGGGCATGCGCAGAAGGGGGTTAGGGGGAGGGGGGGAGGCTCCTTAGAAGGAGGCTGCTTCTTAGACGGCGCGGGTCTTCTCTACAGATGTAAGGCTGGCGCTTTCTAAGAAGCAGCCTCCTTCTAAGAAGCCTTCCCCCTCCCCCTACCCCGTGTGCGCACCGCAGAGCCATAGCCCCATGACGTACCTCGGCTGCCTCCGACCACGGCAGGGTCCCGCGGCGCTACAGCCAAGACGTCGCTCCGCCCTTCCTGGAGCCACAGTTCCTACCCGCAGGGGCCCGAGGGCAGCCGCGCGTCGCGCGTCTCGGCCACTGGCCGCAGCAGGGTGCCATCCTCGATGGCGGCGGCCCCCTCGCGCCGCGCACCGCAGGGGCGCGGTGCGCGAAGCCTCTGGCAACTCCTGGCAGCCTCCCACGGCACGTCCCCGCGCTGGGCTTCTGGGCATGCTATGGAACTCCTTGCCTCAGCGTGCCGCGCGCCTGGTTCTGGCCCACCGCGCTTCGGCGCTGATGATGATGATGATGATGATGATGATGATGATGATGCTGATGATGATGATGATGATGGTGATGATGATGGTCATGATCATGATCATGATCATGCTGATGCTGATGTGACTGATCATGATGGGATGATGATGATGGTGATGGTGATGGTGATGATGCTGCTGATGATGATGCTGATGCTGATGATGATGATGAGGATGATGATGATACTGATGCTGATGCTGATGCTGATTATGATGATGCTGATGATGCTGCTGATGATGATGACGATGCTGATCATGATGATGTTGATGCTGCTGATGATGATGCTGATGATGATGAAGATGATGCTGATGATGCTGATGATGATGCTGTTGCTGTTGATGATGCTGATGATGCTGACGATGATGATTACGATGCTGATAATGATGATGATGATGATGATGATGATGATGATGATGATGCTGATGATGATGATGATGATGATGATGATGATGATGATGACATTTATGATGATGTTGATGATGGCGATGCTGATGATGCTGATGATGATATGCTGCTGCTGCTGCTGCTGCTGCTGCTGCTGCTGCTGCTGCGTGGCTCGATCCTGTCACGAATCTTCGCTCGAGCCTCGGCCAGGGGCCTCGGGAGCACCCTCGATGGCGGAGGTGTGGGCTCCGGCTGGTGGGGGCGAGGAGGGGGACAAGGAGGAGGAGGAGCAGCAGGAGGAGGAGGAGGAGGCGGAGGAGGAGGTGGAGGAAGAACGCAACAGGTATCACACCTAATGCTAGTCTAACGCAACAGCAGGAGGAGGCGGAGGAGGAGAAGGAACAGGAGGAGGAAGAGAAGGAAGGGGAGAAGGGGGAGGAGGTAGACGGGGAGGAGGAGAAGGAGGACGAGGAGGAGGAGGAGCATGACGAGGAGGAGGAGGAGGAGGAGGAGGAGGAGGAGGGGGAAGAGGAGGTGGAGGAGGAGGAGGATATCGATGAGGGGAATGGGGTGGAGGAGGACGAGGACGAGGACGAGGATGGCGAGGACGAGGATGGGGAAGAGATAGTAAGACAGATGCGGAGGTCGTCCTCCTCCTTCCCTCCTCTTCCCTACTTCCTCATCCTTTCCTCAATCCTCTCTCCTCCTCTCCTCCGACTCCGAGCTGCTCATCCTTCTCCTCCTTCTCCTCCTCTTCCTCCTCCTCCTCCGCCTGATGACTGAGTGGACCTGGGTATGAGGGGGCGAGGATGGTGGGGAGTCGCATGAGACTTCGGCGCTCGTTTCATCTCATCCGTCTGCCTGGGTCTGGCTGTCTGCCTGCTGCTCCCCCCCTCTCTCAGAGTGCCGTTGCACTCTCGCACTGCGCCTTTCCTCTTGTGCTGCACACCTCGACTTGCTGCCACTCTCCCCCTCCCCCCCCCTCTCGCGGCCCACAGTGAGCGACTTGGTTGATCACCTCTGAGCGGATCCCTGGTCCTCCCGTCGCGTGATCTGGCCCGGCCGCGCGACCACTCCCGCTCAACTGCCTGCGCCTCGCCGCCGCGCGCGTGGCCGCGACGCAAAGAAAGTGCGTGTGTGCGTCTGCGAGTGCGTGTGCGTGTGTGCCCGGCGTAGACGCGCGCGGTACCCCGCTTGCACTCGACATTCTACGCCCCGTCGCCGCGCGCGTGGCAGCAACGCCATCAAATGTGTGCGTGAGTGTGTGTGCGTGTGTGAGTGAGTGAGTGTGCGTGTGCGAGCGTCCGCCCGTTCCACGACTTTCTCCGCCTCGTCGCTGCGCGCGTGGGCCGCGATCGCCAGAAGTACGCGTGCGTGCGTGCGTCTGGTTTGCCCCCGCCGCCGCCTGGCCTCGCTCTGCACGGGCCCGGCCTCCCTCTCCCTCGCGCCGGCGCCGGGCGCCTCCTCCTTGCTCTGCCGGCATGGTGGCCGAATTCGCGTTCGATTCTCACCTAACGCTTCCTCGCCAGCGCAGTCACTCTGCACAGCCGCCGACGCAAAAAGTGTGTCTGGCTGTGTGTGTGTGCCTGTGTCTGTGTCTGTGAGGGCCTCGGCCTCGTGTGTCTGTGAGTGTGAGGGCGAGGGTGCGTGTGCGTGTGCGTGTGCGTGTGCGTGTGCGTGTGCGTGTGCGTGTGCGTGTGTGTGTGTGTGTGTGTCTGTGTGTCTGTGTGTCTGTCTGTGTGTCTGTGTTTGTCTGTGTGTGTGAGGGCGAGGGTGGCCGAGGGCCTCGGCCGCGGCTGCGGCGGCGGCCCCGCCCACCAGGCGACGGGGGGCGCCGCGGTGGCGTCGGGGCTGGTCGCCGCCCCCTGGGGGCCCCGGCCGGCAGAGCCCGCGCGCGGGCGGGGCCGCCCCTTCGGCGGAGGGCGGCGCACCGCTGCCGCCCCAGAGATGCGCCGCGCTCCGAACAACGTTGGGCCCGCCGGCTGAGGGCGAGTCTCGCCCTCTGGAGGCTCCCAGTCCTGTCGGGGATGGACAGGCCTCCAACCCCGACGCGTCGATGAAGGAATTGGCCGTTTTCGGGTCGCGAGAGGGCGTGGCGGCCGTCATTTTTGCGGGTCCAGGTCCGTCGGTTTCGGTCCCAGGTCGTTTTCACTAAGGGGAGGTCTACTAAAGGGAGGTTTGTCCACCGCCGATCCTGAAACAAGGGGTACGACGTCCAATAGCGGCTCGTTGTCGGCATCGCCGCGGCCGTTGTCGGCATCGCCGCGGCCGTTGTCCCTGTGAGACAGGAGGCCACCTGCCAAACAGCAGCGGCTGTCGGTTCTGGACAACATTCATTGATGGGCATCGTCGCAATCTTCTTTGTACCCGGTTCGGGCGTCCAAACTAACTTGGCCCAGGGACCGTCAAACAAGTAGTCTGGACAAAAAGCGCGTCCTGCTGGGAACAGACCTCTGGGGGCCCACTCATGGTGCAAATTGGAGCGCTGGATGTCTGGGGTTCCCCTTGCCTCGTCATCGCCCTCACTGGGCCTCCTGGGCGGCATTCGTCGCCACCGCTGGATTCTGCCCCGGCATGCCTGGCCAGAGCGCACCTCCATGGAGAGGTCCAGGGAGTGGCGCCATCGGTATACCTTTCGGTTCCCTGAGTCCCCCGAGGTCCGGGCGTCGCAGTCCCTTGTCTTTTGTCGGGCGTGTCCCCCAACAAGGGGATTTTCGACGAAAAATTAAAAAGATCCCAAAAATACCCCCAAAAGATAACAAATATTCAAAAGACAGTCCCCAGACTATTTTAGGACTATTGCGAAGGCCTTACGGCCGGTGCCGCCGACCCTGAATGGCGACGACGACGACGACGACGACGACGACGACGACGACGACGACGACGACGACGACGACGACGACGACGACGAGCGCTCTTGGGGGCCTCTTGGGGGTAGTTTGTGGGCCTCTTGGGAAGCTCTTAGGGGCCGCTTGGAAGCCTCGTGGGGGCCTCTTGGGGCTTCCTGGGGGTCTCTTGGAGGGGGCCTGGGACGTCTTGGAGGCTTCTTGGACGGTCTTGGGGCTATCTTGGGCGTTTTCGGCCGATCTTTGGGCGACTCGGGGCCCTCTTGGGCCGTCTCGGGGGCCATCTGGGGCATTCGGACCTCATTTGGAGTGTTTTCGAGGTTTCTAGGCCGCCCGAGGAAAAACGAATCTGCCCCCCCACCCCCCCCGGGACCCCCCCGGGACCCCCCGGGACCCCCCCCGGGACCCCCCCCGGGACCCCCCCCCCCTGGGGAAGGGATCAAAGGGAAGGGGCTTCCCTTCGACTCGATTACGACACTGCTCGATTTTTCTCTCGCTCACGAGCTTGAGAAGGAAGCTGCAGGGAAAGGGGACGACGGAGGCGACGACCGACGGAGACGACGACTCGAACAGCCAAGCCCCTCGCACACGCCGACAGGGTCGGCGGATTTTTTAATTATTTCCGGGGTATCTTATATTTTTCATCGAAAATCCCTCTGTAGGGGGGCAGGCCCGACTTAACCCTTGTCCCACACCGGACGTGCTCTCGCCCGCTTCTCCCGTGCCCCGGGGCCCGCACGGGACGATCCGGCTCGAGGCACGCCGCAGAAGCACGGGCTCTCTGCCGCGCTCCGGTCGTGTTTGGGATCGCGATGCTGCAGAGTGGTGCGCGCTGTCGGGTCTCGGGGTCGGGCGGCGGCAAGTTCCGTTGGACCAAGTGGAGCCGGACTTCGGCTGCTCTCGGGCGGTTCCGGGACCAGTTGGGGCCAGAGGGACGCCACAGCTGGCACGAAGGTAAAGAGCAACACTGAATTTGGAAGGGTGCCCCTATGCTGTTCATGTTTGGCTTTCCACCGTGGAGTGCTCGAAGTGTTGTGTATCTCTCTGGGGCGTTGGGCCATTTGAGAAGGGGCTCACGTTCTTGGCCCGAGCTCTTGCGGCCACATTTCGACTGTACTCTGATATGCCTTCAGCTAGTCAGGGACCTCGACTTGGCGTGTCGCTCCGCAGGAGGAGGAGGAGGAGGAGAAGGAGGAGGAGGAGAAGGAGGAGGAGGAGGAGGAGGGAGGCGGAGGAGGCGGAGGAGGCAGAGGAGGCAGAGGAGGCAGAGGAGGAGGAGGAGGAGGAGGAGGCGGAGGAGGCGGAGGAGGCGGAGGAGGCGGAGGAGGCGGAGGAGGCGGAGGAGGCGGAGGAGGCGGAGGAGGAGGCGGAGGAGGAGGAGGAGGAGGAGGAGGCGGCGCGACACTCTTTCCACGTCCCCGTTTCCAAGCGTCAGCGTCCCGAGCTTCTCCCGAGCCTCCCGCCCCGCGGGGCCGAGCGACACGTCACCAGCTCGCAGGGACCAGCGTGTCGCTGGGGCCGCCGCCGCGACGCGCTGACCAGAAGCCCCGGACCGCAGCTTCTCCGCAGCGCCGCCTCCTTCGTGCCAGCCGGCTGACCCTCGACGACGATTGACGACAGCAACGACGACGACGACAATTGCAGCGACGACGACGACGACGATGACGATGACGACGACGACGACGACGCCACTGACCCTCGATCACGCCGATGCCCCCAAGAGGTCTGCCTCCTGCGCGCCCCCGCGGGGCGGCGTCGCGCCAGCGCCCCGGCGGAGCGCTGCCCTGCCAGCGCCTCCCCGGAGGACGCGGCGCTGCCCTGCCAGGTGCCTCTGGTCGTCGTCGTGGTCGTCTTCGCCGCAGGCGTTCGTCGTGGTCGTTTCCGTCGTCATCTCCGTCGTCGTCTCCGTCGTCGTCGTGGTCGTCTTCGCCGCAGGCGTTCGTCGTGGTCGTTTCCGTCGTCATCTCCGTCGTCGTCTCCGTCGTCGTCGTCGTCGTCGTCGTCGTCGTCGTCGTCGTCGTCGTCTCCATCGTCGTCGTCGTCGTTGTCGTGATTGTCGCAGTCGTCGCAGTCGGTGCCGTGCCCGTCGTCGTGATCGTCGCAGTGCTCGTCGCCGTCGCCGGCGTCGCCGTGATCGTCGTCGCATTCCAGTCCAGCAGGAAGAGACAGTGCCATGAGCAGCAGGTTTCGAGGTCCGCGCGGATTTCTTGGGTCAGCGATGCCCCCTGGCGGCGCCTCCGCCGCCGCTCCTGGCTGCACGTGGGGGGTCGCGCGGTGGGTCGCGGGTGGGTCGCGGGGTGGGTCGCGGGGTGGGTCGCGGGGTGGGTCGCGGGGTGGGTCGGGGGGTCGGTCGCGGGTGGCGCGGGTGGGTCGGGGGGTCGGTCGCGGGTGGGTCGCGGGGTGGGTCGCGGGGTGGGTCGCGGGGTGGGTCGCGGGGTGGGTCGCGGGTGGGTCGCCGGGGGGAACGACGACAGCAAACAACAGCAGCAACAACAACAGCAACAATAATTTTAAGACTGTTCGCCCTTATGTGCTCGAGTGTCCAATAACGCTTATTTCCCAAACCCTCGATGATACCCGCCCTCTTCGTCTTCGATCGAACCCTTTTTTGGAGGGTATACCTTTCTTCCCTGAAGGCCGGGCCCCGGCAAGCGGCGAGGCGGCCGCGGACCGTCGGCCTGGCCAGCGGCAGCGCTGATCGGCGGGGCGGCCGCGGACCGTCGACCCGACCCCAAGAGGGACGGACAGGGGACCGACCACGACGACGACGACGTCGAAAACGACGGCGACGACAACGACGACGACGGCGACGACGAGCGAAAGCGAGAGCGAGAGAGAACGACAGCAGAGCCACAAAGGGCACGAAGTATGCCACGAAGGGCGACAGCGGGGACACGAAGGGAATGCGTATGGGGCCACGAAGAGCGCGAACGAGCGGGGGCCACGAAATGCAGATAATGTGGGGCCACAGAAGGCAACTATGGGGCCACTGAGGGTAGCAACTGGGCCATGTAGGACAGTGATGGGGGACACAAATGGCGACAGCGGGGCCACGAAGGGCATGCACATGGGGCCACAACGGGCGCGACTCCTGGGCGCCTGGGTGTCGGGAGCGCGGCGCTTGGGCAAATTGCAGGAAATTTCAACGCAAGGCCATTCTTCAGTAAGTTGCAAGCAAGTCTCCAGCGAGAGCGCGACTCCAGAGCGCCGGGAGAGCGATTCCTGAATCAATTGTAAGGAAGTCCCAAGCGAGATCGCGATTCCTGAATAACATGCGAGGAAGTCTGGGGCGGGAGCGGGGGCGCTAATACGCGCTTGTAGGCGCCAGTGGGCACCAGTAAGGACATTGATAGACGCCACGAGGCGTCAGTCGGGCAGATCCTCTCTTAAAATCACGTGCCCGGCCCCCTGGGGGCCCTCCTGGAGAGTCCCCGAGTCCGCTGGTCCGTCGAGCACCTAGGTTCGAGGGTGGAGATCCTGGACCTCGGGGGTAACAAGGCAAGAAATAACCACAAAAGGATTTTCTTGAGGACCCCTCGGGGGAGAACCTGTCGACCTCGACATGAAGACTTTGGAAGTGGTGTTGCTCGGTTTGGCCGTTCTGGGACACACACACACACATCTATATGTAATGACCGTCCTGGGACATATATATATATATACACATGTGTATATATATATATATGTAATAATGATGATAACACTAGTAAGAATACGAATAATAATAATAATAATAATAATAATAATAATAATACGAATAATAATAGTAATAATAATGATAATAGTAATAATGATAATAATAATGAAAATAATAATCATACGCACCTCTCCGAGGGAGTAAAGCTCAGAGGCGATTAATGCGTACGCGCCGCGTCGTTCGCAATTTTTCTGGCTGTTTCGCTAGGGACATCCTCGAAATTCTGAAAATCGGTGGCACCCCTCACGCAGATCGTGACGTCAGGGTCCAAAAACACATTGGCATTTCAACTTTCTAACATAAAACCTTCAAAAACATATGTTAACTCCAATGATTTTGACCCCAGTTCTCAGAGAATGGCGGTTTCGCCTGAGACATCCTCCCAAAATCGAGCCCCGACGTACCTTCTGGTACCCCAGACCCCGCCTCGGAGCCTCCTGGGGGCCTCCTGGAACCTCCTGGAGCCTTGTGGGGCTTTCTGTACCTTCTGGTACCCTAGACCCCGCCTCGGAGCCTCTTGGGGGTCTCCTGGAACCTCCTGGGGCCTCCTGCGGCCTCCTGGAGCCTCTTCGGGCCTCCTGGAGCCTCCTGGGGTGTCCTGGGGCTTCTTGAGGCCGCCTGGGGCCTCCTGGGGCCTCCTGGGGCTTCAGAACTACATGCGCACACAGAGACACAAATCATTCCCAACACATCACACGCTAGACAAACATAACACACGCAACATCTGCAACGCACAGAAAACATGCACAAAACAGAGAACACATCACACACAACACTCACCATTCCAGGGCCTCCTGGAGCCTCTTCCGGTATCCAAGTCGGGCCTCCTGAGGTTTCTTGGGGGGGCCCTGGTACACACATCGCAAGATGTGGCAACCCTATTTGCGCTCGAGTGCGACCTCGATCTTAGATTCTTCTGCGTTCACCTCCTGCCTCTTCCCCTTCTCTTAGGCACGCCCTGGCGGCGCCGCCCCAGCTTCCCTTCTCTATCTCCGATCCTGCAGTCATAGTGTCTTCTTGCTTCAAACGCCCTTTCAGTTTTTTGTTTGAGCCTGGGCACACACGTGCCACAGGTGTGTGTGTGTATATATAAATATAAATGTATCGACCATATTAGCCACTTCGCTGATCTCGGCATTCTGACGAAACTTGACATGCGCAATACATCCCCCGGGGTGTGTCCTCGATGTGCACTCCGCACAGACAGCCACGAGGTCAGTTCTGTGCAGCCGAGCGGCAGTCTGGTCTGCTTCTCCGTGTTCCCCGGCTCCTGCCGCCCCGCTGCGGCGCCAGGTGGGGCGCAGGAGTTACGACGTCGAGTGAGCGGCTCGCCTGCCTGAAAAGCTCGCCCGGACGGATGGCTCTTCTGCTTTTTCTCTCCGGGGGAGGGAAGGAATGTGTCCACGACAGAGGTCTGGACGCCCGAAATGGGCACGGAAAGAATGGGCACAATGCCCAACAGCAGTTCCTGTTCATTTCGAACAGGATTCGTTGTCCGCGCCGCCGCGGCCTGTGTCCATTTGAGACAGAAGGCCGCCTGCTCAACAGCGGCCGCTGTTGATTTGGGACAACACTTGTTGTTGGGCATTGTACCCATTCTTTCGGTACCCATTTCGGGCGTCCAAAAGAGGTACCAGGCCTCCACCAGTCTCGTTTGCGCCCAGCTCTTGGTAGTTTTTAAGGTTCCAGCCACAGCATGTGTTTTGCTGTTGCGTGTGTCGTGCCCTCTCGTTGCCATCGGTGGTTGTTGTGCTTTTCTGTTCTATTCGGGAAGGGCCCGTCGTGGCTGATTGGTGGTGGTGGTGGTGGATATCTTCCCCCTGCCTTTCTCGGAGCATGCGGCGCAAGGCTATGCAGTTCTGTGCAGAAGCAGGTAGTTCAATACGGAGAGCAGCGCCGTACAGAGCAATCAGAAAGAACTAATTGCCAAGCACTGCAAAGCAAAGCAGTCGAGCGCACACAGCGCAGTTACTTACATGCAGAAAGATACAGGGACGATTGGCACGACCCTTGCGCAATGGCTTCTTCGCTCCGTCTCTCCCTCGTCGTTATGGTCATCCTCCATCTTGGGTTTCGCGCTCTCTGAGCTGTGCGGTGAAGGAGACAAGCTCAGGGGATCCAGGCTTGCTTCATCGAGCTGTGTCTGCGCAGGGAAGAAAACTGCAGCGCAAGCAGTGCAAATCAGACCTCAGCAACCTAACCAACTTCGGAACAATGAACCGTAGGTCAAACACAGCAGCTCCAAACAATGCAATGCATGCGTACTAATTGAAGCTCTGTCGTGCTGTGCGCACACCCCTGGCCGACACCTTCTTGGGTGGTCAATTGCCATGACTGCTTCCTCGCGGTGGGCACGGGGCTCAGAACTGAAGCGCGTCGACTTGTCAAAACGGGTGTTCTGTTCGAGACGTTGTGCCAATCTGGGCGCGAACGGTCCTGTGCAACGCCCCTCGTCGAGGTCACTTCGGGTGGCTCAGGTTCAAGAGTTCCCTGCAGCATCGCGGTGGGCATGGGGCTCGGAACAGAACCGCGTCTACTTCCCAAATCGGGCGCCGCACCTGAAACGGAGGAGACCCGCTGGGCAGCGGAGGGAGAGAGAGAGAGAGATAGAGAGAGAGAGAGAGAGAGCAAGGACCCGACAACACAGGAGGGTTCGGGGACTCGAGGATTGGCGTGCTTGCCGTGAGTAATCGCATGCGTTGGGCGTCGCCGAAGCTGCTGGCGGATCGCAAAACATAAATGTCTCGACAGGAGAACGGGTCTGCGCCAGCCCGTGCTGGGCGCTCCAACAGGGGCCGCTCGCTCTTCCGCGCGGCCTCGCTTTCCGGCGGATGGCCGGCGGAAGGCAGTCGGACAGACGGGCCAGCTCCGCTGCGGACGCCGGCTGGAGGTCGGCGGATCGAAGGCGGCGGAGGCAGAAGCGTGTGTCTTGGCACGCAGCTGCACCTGGTCTGTGCAGCTGCGCACGCTTCGCCATGGCGCGCTCCGCCCTCTCTTTTCCTCCTCTCCCCCTCCCCGTTCTGCTCCCACTGCCGATGGGGGGGCGATGCCGCTGTGGACGATCATGCGACGAGTGAAACTCGAGAAGGAAAACAAGTTCAACGCGCCTTGGATCTCCCAGCCCGATCCCAGCAATGGCGGCGACGGTGGCCTGGGAAGCAGGAGGAGGCTGAGCGCAGCGGCTGGGCCCCCGCACCCTCGCTTCCTCTCCCTTCCCCCCCCCTCCCCTTCGCTCTCCCTCCCCCCGCTGCCAGGGCGGCTGTGCGAAAGCGCCAGGCCGCGCGAATTTGAGCTTTGCCTTTGCCTCCTGCCCCTCGCTCGCTCGCTCGCTACCCGAGGGCCGAAGAGGTTCGAAGCCCGCGCTTGAAGGGTGAGGGAAAGGCGGAGTCGGCACCCCCAAACATGCACAGTTATTTTTCCTCGTCTTTTTGTTTTCCTTTTCTTCTTCTTATTTTTATTAGCATTATTATTAGTATTACTACTATTATTATTAATACTATTATTATTTTTACTATTATTACTATTACTATTATTATTATTCTTATTCTTCTTATTAGTATTACTATTATTCTTATTCTTCTTCTTCTTCCTCCTCTGTGCGAAGGCGTTCCGCGCCCGCGCGCGGGCGCCCCGCTCCGCCCGCGGCGGCGGGGGTCGCCGCTCGCCCCGCCGGGGCTCCCGGGTGGCCGCGGGGGGGCCTCGTGTCCTCGCTGCCGGGGGGGGGGGAGGGAGCCACCAGCCCACCAGTCCATCCTACGCTCGCGAAGAGCAACAACCGCCTTCTCCTCCTCCCCCTCCTCCTCCTCCTCCTCCTCCTCCTCCTCCTCCTCCTCCTCCACTTTTCCTCGTGGGTAGCTCCTCCCTGTCGCCTCTCCCAAGGCCAGGCGGAAGGGCGGGCCGGACGCTTCGCCTGAGAATTCTTTACCACTCATGGGCCTGAAGCCTAGAAGCCGGCAGCGGCTTTGCAGATGTAGGGCAGATCGTATTTAACATGTACTTATCGCCTCAGCGCCGCGAGCATTCGTCTTAAACCATTGCAAGAGCTTCACGGATGGATGCTGGCTCGGTTTCAACATGTGGTTCTCGCCTCAGCGCCGCGCGCCTTTTTAGAACGAGGTCCAAGAGTTTCTTCCCTTAGCGCCGCGCACATTCGTTCTACCGAGTTGCAAGAGCTTCAAGGATTGAAGGCGGTTCCTTCTCGAAGTGTGGTTCTCGCCTTAGCGCCTCGCACGCTCGCTTAAACACACTGCGACAGTTTCACAGGTGGAGGGCCGTTCCTTTTCAAATTGTGGATCGCGCTTGAGCGCCGCGCACATTCGCTGAACCATGCAAGCGTTTTACGGATTAAGATCATCATTCCATGTTCAACATGTGGTTCTCGCCGTAGCGTCGCGCACATCCATTTCAGACATTTGCAAGGGTTTCACGGTCTCTCATGGATAACGTATGAGAGATGTTGTTTGGGGCGATGTATTTTGGATTGCCAGGGTTAACGAAACATTGGATATTGTCAGTGCGCAACAGTTGCGTTGGTTCGCGGTGTTGGAGTCCTAGGATTTGTTGTCGAGCACGTGTCAGGATCGTCAAGACGCAAAAGTCAGGTTGACTCACAGCGTTGAAGTGCTGAGAATGGTATGTTGGCACGCCCCAGGATTTTCACACGGTTGTCTCCTAATGGGGCGCTATCTTCAGTGGATATGGATTATTGCAGGCGGTTGTGAAGGGGTAGCTTGGAGGGAGGGTGTAGTCCAACATCGTTGATGAGTCTTGGGTTTGCATCTGTCGTCCTCCTGGTCCTCCTCGTCGTCCTCCTCCTCCTCCTCCTCCTCCTCCTCCTCCTCCTCCTCCTCCCCCTCCTCCTGCTCCCCTCGGCATCACCCAAGCAGCATGCCCGCAGTAAGTGTGCGTCGGACTCGCAGGGGCGGCGCGCACGCTCAGAGGCTGCACGGCATGACCAGGCCCCTCGGCGGGCGCCTTCTGGCCGTACCGCTCGGGGTGCGGCCGTGCTGCTGTGTTGGGCGCGGCGGTCGCATCGGGCGTGCGCTCCCCGCGGAGGCACAGCGTACGAGCCCAGCCGGCACACCTAAGCAGAAGTCGGCCTGCGAGCAGGTGGCCCACGGAAGTCCTGTCTTCCCCGACCCCCACCGGGACCCACGGGAGCGCTGGGCGCCTGTGACCTTCCGAGGCCGACGCGGCAGGTGCCCCAAGATGTCTTACAGCAAGACATCTTGTGGCATGTGCCAATCATATGTCCTGCTGCATCCCATCCTCGCCCGCGGGCGTCGCGTGGCGAGTACATGGTCGCAGGCTCTGTCGTCGCCCAGGGCCTCTGCCCTGGCTGCCGAAGGTCTCGAAGGGGAGTGCGAGGTGCCAACCCCCCCTCGGGTAGATTCGGGGCTGGATGGTGGTGGAGGCGGTTGGGCGGGTCCAGCTCCGGCAGGCTCGTGGGCTCGGTGCGTCGGCGCTCCCATACTCACATGTTTACATACGTCTATATGTATACATGTATGTATGTATCTAAATCTGTATATATATATATATATAACTTCCCCAAGCAGAGCTTGCCTCTGCAGGGGTCCTAGCGGATTCATATGGTACGACTAGCTGCGTCGCCTATTTCGGCGGCACGTCCGTGTGCCCGGGTGCCCTATAGCCCCAAAGCCCTATAGTCTTATAGCCCTACAGCTCTTTTGCCTATAGCCCTATAGCCCCATGGCCTTATAGCCGTATAGCCCTATAGCCAAATCGCCTTATAGCCCTATAGCCCTAGAGCCCTACAGCCGTATAGCCCTATAGCCCTATAGGTCCATATGCCCATAGCCCTATAGTCCTATAGCCCTATAGACCTATAGCCCTATGGTCCTACAGCGCCATATCCCTGTAGCCCTAAAAAGATTCGGATTGGGTTCTTCTGAGGTGTGTATATTTATGTGTATATATATATATGTATATATATATATGTATATATATATATGTATATATATATATGTATATATATATATATATATATATAGGAGTAGGCCGGGGGGGGATCGGGCCGGTGCCTGTACCCCCCATGGGCGCCCCCTGGGGGTTTCTGGGGGGCCCAGTGCTCTCGAGACGGCCGGGCCGCGCTCCGAGACGGGCCACGACAGGCTAAGGGGGTACCAAGAGGGCCCAAGAGGGAACAAGACGGTCCCAAGAGGCCCCGAAGACGCTTAAGATGCCCCCAAGACGGCCGACGAGGACCCCGACACGCTCCAGGACGGCCTCAAGAGGCTCCCCATGAGGGCACCGGGAGGCAAAATTCATATATTATCTGAAGGTTTTTGGAGGATTTTGATGTTTTGGCTTTTCCCGCTTCCCAGCGCTCCCTCACGGCCTTGGAGGCCCTTCAGATCGATCCAAGACGTCCCACGAGGCCCCGAAGAGGGCCCAAAGACGGACCAGGAGGCCCCCAAGACAACCCAAGGGTGCCCCAAGAGCGCCCCAAGAGGGGGCCCAGAGGGGGACCACGAAGTGATATTTCGAGGTCTTTGGCCCTAGGAGCCTCCAGTAGGCCCCTGGAGGGCACCAAGAGGCTGCCAGGAAGCCCCGTGAGGCCCCCGAGAGGCCCCCAGGAAGCCCCAAGAGGCCCCCAAGGGGCTTCCAGGGAACGCCCAAGAGGCCCCCCAGCACACCCCAACAAATCATGTCCCCAGAAAGCCTTCCGGGGATATGGTTCATCATGGGCCCGAGAGTCTCCGGAGGCTCCGAAGTACCATCATGCTACCGGAGAGTTGTCTGGGAAGCTTACTGGGGAACATGACCGATCGCCTTCTCTGCCGACGTCTGCCGCCTACGACGACGACGACGACGACGACGGCGGCGCGGCGACGAGGACGACGACGAACTTCGAACTCCGATGTCCGAAACGGTTGTTCGGTGTTTTCTGCCTGCGGGGGCCGTTCTCGGGCCGTGGGCTCGTCGGGCCTCGATCTGGCGTGGAAACTGCGCCGGATGGATCCCGGGAGGGGTCCGTCCGAAGACCGACGACGAAGACGACGAAACGACGACGACGAGGAGGACGACGACGACGGCGACGACGACGACGACGACGACGACGACGACGACGACGACGATGGCGCGCCCCAAGAGGCGACGACGACATTACGACAACGAAGACGACGACGGCACGCCCCAACATGCTCCCCAAGACGCCCCCCAAAACCATTTTCCCCGAAGGCCTCCTGGGAACCCGATCCATAGGGCCTCGACATGACTATTTGATGTCAGCCAGCGTGGCCACCAAACAGGAAGTGTTTGCACAGGGGATGTGCAAGATGTGTGATGCAAGCCACGTGGCGGTGCAATAGATGTGGTTCAAGCAATGTGGTGCGACCTATGTGCTGCAAGCTACGTGGTGCAAGCCACGTTGTATAAGCTATGTGGTGACGCGGCACCGAGGTGGCAACGTGCGGCAATGCGGCGATTCCTTGGCAGACCCGCAAGTGGCAACGAGGCGGCAAGGGGCGGCAACGTGTGGCAACGTTGCGCAGCCTCGGCGGATCCCCCAAGCGGCAATGAGGCGGCCACGGGCGGCAACGTGGCGAGATTTTGCCAGGACGACCCAACGCACGAGGAAGCCGCGCGGCGACAACGGGCGGCAGTGTGGTGAAACCTCGCAGGGCCCACCCAGCACAGAAGGCGGCCGTGAGGCGGCCACGGGCGGCGACATGACGAAACCTCGCCCGACGCACCTCGCGCACGAGGCGGCCACGAGGCGAAAAGGGTGGCAACGCGGCGAAGCCTCGCCGGCCCCACCCAGCGCACGAAGCGGCCACGAGGCGGCCACGGACGTCAACGTGGCGAAATCTCGAAACTTGCGAGGCCCATTCAGCACATTCCTCAGTAAGGCGTAAATTGTTGCGCTGTGGGTGTGTCGGCGTTGTGTGGCAAGCTATCTGGTGCAAACTGTGTGGGGTAGTCTACGTACTGTCCGCTGCGTGGTGAAAGGGGTGCCGTGCAAGCTGGGCGGAGCAAGCTGCATAGCGCAAGCTGTGCGGTGCAGGTCCCGTGAAGCAGTCTGCATGTGTGCACGCTGTGCGGCGCGAGAGGTGCAAAGCTTGCGACGCAAGCCACGTGGGGCGGCCACGTTGGGCGGCCACGGGGCGGCCACGGGGCGGCCACGGGGGCGACCGCGGGCGGCCACGGGACAGCGGCCACGGGGCGGCCACGGCTGGCTCTGGGGCGGCCACGGGGCAGCCGCCAAGGAAATCCTCGGGTCACCCACCCAATTCTTTGTAGCAGAGCGAGTGCGGACCTCCAAGCGCAGGCGCTGTTTGGGGCGAAAGCTACGGATCGTCATCACCATCATCAGTGTCCGTCCTCCCTGCACCTTTCTCTCATTCGCCCGACCTTGCACATACAGGATCTGGCTTGAATAAGGAGGTCGTTCATTTGGTTTGCATGCGTTTCGCTACCGTTTTGGCGGCGAGCCCCCTCTGGTGTCTGTTTTCGGACTTCATGGGTTCCCACTTGGAAAAAAGGGGCTTCGCTCCTGATGTGTCGTTCCTCAGGTCAGGCCGAAGACTGTACCTCTCTCTCTTGCGTGTTCTGCCCTCGCCTCTTCTCTTCCATCCTGTCTGGGGATGAGTTGGCTCGAAGGCCGGAGGGCCACACACGTCTGAACGTCTCGATCCCAACCACAAACTGTCTCTCGATCGAGCCAACGATGCTGGCCACAACAACACACCGACCACTGCGGCTCGCGGTGGCTCTTTCATACATCTTTGCACTGGGCGCCGACTCGCAGCTTACGTACAAGTCGCCGCGCGACCACGCCGTGCAGCCGCACGCGGGCTGCCACACCGCCGTGGCGGGCGAGGAGTGCCACGACAAGCTGCTGTGGGCAATGCAGTCCGGCATCCTGAAGTACCCGGACTTCTGGGGCGCCGTCTGGGGGGGAGCGTTGACCCAGGGTGGGGGGGGGAGGGACATCGACTTTCCATCCAGGCCTCGGAAGAACCTGGCGAACACTCATGCCGCATTCACCTGTCAATGCCCCCCCCCAATGATCAACGTCGGCAGTGGGTTGAATGCACTTCGACCGCAGTCTTACCCGCGCGCGCCAACTTTGAGTTTGGGAGGAGCGGGGAAGTGCCCACGAATTGTGTCCTTCCACCGTCGCCCACGCCTCAGGTGGGGACGAAGCAGACCGACACAACGAATCGTCGATCCCCAGGAAATGGTGGGAAAATAAGTGGGGGGGAGGACGAACACATTCAAAGTATGAGAAAATATAATGAGTCCTGGGATTGGTGTGTATTTATGTGTGTGTGTGTGGGTGTGTCCCTGCGCCCCTTCATCCTCCCCCAGGCCGGGCCCGCGTGCCCCACCCCGCCCGGGCATGCGCCATCGAGGGCCTGTCGCCGGTCGGTTGACGACGCCTCGCCGACTCGAAGCCAGCGTTGCCCCCTGGAACCGGCGCCCACCCCCTCCCTGTTCGGAGAGGGGGAGGAGAAGGGCGAGGATGAGGAAGGGGAAGGATGAGGGGGGAGAGATGTAGGAGGAGGAGGAGGAGGAAAAGGAGGAGGAGGAGGAGGAGGTGGAGGAGGAGGAGGAGGAAATGCAAGAGGAGGAGGAGGCATTTCCTCAGGACTGGTTCGCCCCCCTGACCAACAGCTCCAGCCTCGAGGCCTTCCAGCGCCACCTGCACGGCCTGCCCCGGTTCTCCGGCGTGTGCCCGCAGCCCTGCGAGGAGAGAGCGCTCGAGGCCGTCGCGCTGGTGCCCGCGCGGGCACGGCAGCCGCCGTCGGTCAGTTGCCACGCCCCCGTCGAGGGCGACGCGTGCCACAGGAGAGCGGTTGCACGCAAGTCGGGGGGGGAAGGGGTAGTCTGGGCTTCTTGATAAGCGTGGGGGGGTACCCCCCCCGACGGGGGTCAACGTCGCCTCGTCGTCGCGCCGCGATGGGGGTCGGAGCGCCTTCGACGCGCGGTGGCTGCCCGCGACGGGGGTCGATGCAGGGCTGTCGGCGGTGATGACGCCCCCCCGACGCTTACCATGAAACCCAGAGTACGGATGCCGCTGCCCTTGCCTCGTGCTCACCGTTTTGGGACTCCTGGGAAACCATTGTCGCCACGGCTGGATTCTCCCCGGCATTCCTGTCAGAAGGCAGCTCCAGGGAGGGCCGTGGAATAGTTGGGCGTTCGACCAGGGACCCCTTCGCACCCGCAGCCGTCCAGCATTCGCGCTGGAAGACCGCCGAAGATGGCCCGAGGCATATGGATGGCAAAGGGTGTGTATGTGTGTGTGTTCAAATGCGTAAAGGGCGCAGCCCAGGAGAGAGCCGCGGAGTCGCGGTGTCGCGGTGTCGGGCGTCAGTACCTGTTGGTCTCCCTGCTAAGGAGGACCCCCTGCCAGAGCTGTCTCCTCCGCGCGGCCCGCCGGGAGAGGGGAGCGGCTCTAGCTGGTCGGTTCCGGCCGGCTTGCTCGCCTCGGGGTGCTGCGCCCCCGCAGCTGCGCCCCGCCGCGGGCGGACCCGCGCGGGGGGGGGGGGGGGCGGGTCAGCCGCGCGCAGGGGGGGTCGGCGGGCGGGGCGAGGGCCACGTCGAGGCCCCCCTCGCCCCTTCGTTGGCGGCTGCTTTTTGGAAGCCCTCCCTGGCGTGCTCCTGTGAAGCGGGCGGCCGGCTTGCTTCTGAGCAGCTGCGCTTGCTCCTGAAAACATGCGTTCCGTGTTTCGGAGATTAGGTCGGGCACGACCCCCTACAGACGGATTTGGGGCGAAAAATCGAAAATAGTCAGAACATGTTAAAACAATCTGTCCACCGTAACAGAAAAATCGTCCCCAGATTATGGTTTGACTATTTTTGAATCTTCCTTCTGCAGAGGGACAGGCCCGGCTTAATTATAAGAAGAGTTTGGAATGTGCCTCCGAGAAGCGGCGCGCCCCCCTGTCTTTCTTAGAAGGGCCGTCGGTGCCTTCTGAAAGGCAACCTCTTTCTAAGAAGCCCTCCCCCTCGCCTTCCACTCCATTTGTGCGCGCCGCCAAGGGGAGGAGGAGGAGGAGGAGGAGGAGGAGGAGGAGGAGGAGGAGGAAGAGAAGGAGGGGGGGGCAACCTGAGCACGCAGGCCGTTACAGTTGCTTCGCGTACAACGATGGGCACGCCTCCCCCTCCTCCTCCTCCTCCTCCTCCTCCTTCTTCTCCTCATTCTTGCGCCGCCGGCAGGAGAGTAGTGTGGGCGATGGAGTCGGGCGTCGTGAAGTACCCCGACAGGTTTGCCCCCCTGACCAGCAGCTCCCGCTTCGAGGACTTCCAGCGGCTCCTGCACGGCATGCCCCGGTTCTCCGACGTGTGCCCCGAGCCCTGTGCGCCGCCCGCCGTGGGAGCCGGCGTGCCGGCACGGCTGCCGGACGGCTGCCGCACGGCCGTGGAGGGCGACGCCTGCTACAGGAAGGTGGTGTGGGCGATGGAGGCGGGCCTCGCGAAGTACCCGGGCTGGTTTGCCCCCCTGACCAGCAGCTCCAGCTTCGAGGACTTCCAGCGGCACCTGCACGGCATCGCCAGGTTCTCCGACGCGTGCCCCGAGCCGTGTGCGGCACGGGCGGCGGAGAGTCCTTTGCCGGCACAGGCACGGGTGGATGGTGGCACTCCGGGGGGTGGCACGTGGATCGTGGAAGGATACAACCAGACAGCAGGCAACTGCGAGTGCGGGAACATCATTCAGGCGTACGCCACAGGCTACGAGACTCCATTGCTATGCGCGGCCGCGTGCAGTGCGGTCCCTGCCTGCATGTCCATTGGCGTTCACGAAGATACCATCTGGCCTGGCCACTGCGATCTCTTCGACGCGCCCTGCGATGACAGCGCCACTTGCGCCACTCCCGTCCATGAGCAAGCCATCAGCCTCAATTTCAACAAGGAGCTGACCGCTTCACCCACGCCTGCTCCAACACCTCCACCAGATGCGTGCGAAATCACGAACGGAACTGGGCCGAGTGCTTCTTATCCGTGTACGTGCGGGCTTGATGTGTGTGGAACCAGTGAGATTTGCTCCAATGAGACATGCTCACCTCCAACGTATCTCCACGTCGATTGGCCATGCTCGTACCCATCGATCGGCGACCCGAACTTCATTCTGACAGGAACAAGTGCAGACGGAGCGCCCATCTATGTCAATTTCCACGGCAGTTATATTTACTATGACGTATCATGTGACGGCGTAGTGCGTGAAGCGGGTGAAGGAGTAGCCAGATGGATTGTTGATAACAGTGTGCCCAGCGAATCAGCTACCAGCGACCTGGACTCTGACAAGACTTGTTCGTACTTTGGGCATTACAACTCCTTGGACAACAGTGGTCTTCCCTTGGGGAGCTCAAGCTGGGTGACGTACTGCCATGGCCAAACGACGACTATCACTGCAGAGATCACGTACTTGCACGAGGAGCCCAATGTGACGGCTACCCCAGCCCCGACGTTGCCACCCGGGGTCCCGTGCCCCTGTAATCAAAAATGCGCTGGTTTCCCTTATGTTGACACCGACGGCGATGGTTGCCTTAGTCCACCAGAGTGCGAATATATAGAAACATTCAGGGACAGGTTTCACGAACTTGACCTTGATGGGGATGGCTGCGTGACCATTGATGAGTGTATCGAATCTCCGTTGGGGGAGTGGTTGCCGATGTTCCCGATCCAAGGGCCGAACCACTGCGATTTTGGATCCTACTTCACACCGGGCACAAGCTCTTGCGTCTCATGCACAAATGGGGAAACAAGGCGTCGTCGTTCGGAGGCGTGCACCAAGTGCCCTGCTGGGAAGGATGACTTCGGAGATTTCGACGTTTGCATCGGAGGAGCGTATCTGAAGGAGCCCCTGTACCCAGGGAATTGCTCGGCCTGCCTCAACACAGGAACCGACGAGAGCGGACTAACGTGGACGAGAGGCGACAGAGTCGTCATATCCACGCGCAACCCTGATCCAGGCCATTACCAGGTAGTGACCATCGAGGGCGTAAACACTGTCGGTAACCTGACTTGCTTCGAGTTTTCACCTTGTGTTACCGACCCGTACGACCCGTACGACCCAGTAACCACCGATTGTACTGAACAAGACGGACATGCCACTTCCATTGCCTACCCATGTGGATGTGGCATTGAGGAGTGCGCCGATGGTGAAGTGTGCGACATCGACGGCAACGCGGGGCAAGGCATTTGCTTTACACCCTCGGGGAACCTTCCGACTCCGGCTCCGACAGTGTCGGCCCGGGGCGATCCACACTTGGTTAATCTGCACGGGGAGCATTTCGACGTGAACCACGGTGGGGAGTTCACTTTGCTGCGGATCCCCCAGGCCACCAGCGAGCCCCCGATGCTGGAGCTCAAGGCATCCATCCGCCCGGAGCACGGGAAGCCGTGCACCACGTACATCACGGAAGTGGAGGTCTCGGGCAGTCTGTTCGGGAGCAAGGTCGTGCAGGTGCGCTCCTACCTCAGGTCGCACGTGGAGAACGAGACCGACAAGTTTTTGGGCCTCCGGGTTCTAGAGCGAACCCCAGGCGCGGTCACTGAGGCCCCGTGGAAGAGCATCGCGCAGGAGACCGACAACACTTTCTTTGTCGCGGACCCTCAGACCGAGAACGACTTCAGGGTGACTATGTCAACGGCGAAGTGGTACAGCAACAAGGACGGGGGAACAAAATGGTTCCCGGACCGTTGCTTGCTGGACTTTTCTTGGGTGGCCGCCTGACGAGAACTCTGAGGCGAATCCGCCTGTGGCGACGAGGGCCCCCAGGATTCCCGCAGAGTCGAGTGCAAGGAGAGGGGGCCGGTGTCGGTGCAGCAGGCGTATCAAAATCAGGAGTTGGGACCGTCGTCTGGGGCCCCCTCAGACTTCCTATGCCGCGATTGCCCTGGGGACCCACAGAGGCCCCAGAGAATCCGAGCAGGTAAGATCGACGACAGATGCGCCCCCAGACTTTTCAAACAGGTGGCACGAGGGTTAAGAGCGACCCCAGCTGTGGAAGGGCGCTCTTATGTTTCCGATGTCTGGGCCTTTCACTCTGGCCTGCTCTTCGCTGGTTTGTGCCTCCATGAGGTATTGGACCTTCGGCGAAGGGGCTTGTGCTGTTGACCCACGCACTTGTGGCCATGTCTCCCTTGTAGCAAGGCTGACACACATATATACATATATATATATATATATATATCGATGTATGTATAAGTATTTATATACACATGTACATATATATATATATATGTGTGTATTGCTATTCGTTTCATAACACTTCACATACTACTAGTAATCATATTCACACTAAGAACAGTAGTTCTGCTAGCAACAACAATACTTATACTTAAGCCATACATATTCATAGTAATAAGTAGACTCCTAACAATAATAACAATAACAGTCCCAACAACACATGCATAACTATATGTATATATATATATATATGATCGCGGGCTCCGGGCTCACGCCCCCCCCCCCCCAGATGGGATGGGTCCCAGGGTCCTCGGCCCCCCGCCCCCAGATGGGATGGGGGGGAGGAGGAGGGGGAGGAGGAGGAGGAGGAGGAGGAGGAGGAGGAGGACAACGACGACGACGACGAAGACGGCGATGACGACGACGACGACGACGACGACAACGACGACGACGACGACGACGACGACGACGACGACGACGACGACGACGACGACGACGACGACGACGACACCGACAACGACGACGACGACAACGACGACGACGACGACAACGACGACGACGTCAACGGCACCACCGGCGGCGGCGGCGACGACGTCGAGCACCGGAGCTGTCAACATGACGCCAATCCCAGCCACACGCCGCACCCACACCGCACCCTCAGGGGGGAGGGAGGGGGGGAGGAGGACCATGGCGTCACCCCGCACACACCCACAGCAACACACCACACCCACACCACATCCATAGGGGGGGGGTGGGAGCCACCACGCCACGCCCACGCCCCCAGGGGGGGGGGCCCATCGCGCGGGGGGGGGAGGGGCGATGGCATTAGCATTGCGGGGGGGAGGGGGCGCAAACCCTCGATCAGATCTACAGATATAACAAAATACATATACGTGTATACTCATAACGTGTTCCGTTCCGAGAGGACGCCGGGGAGAAGGTGCCGAGCGTGGCGGGGCAGGTCCAGCCGGATGACCGCGTCCAACGATGCACTTCTCCATCACCCCTCTGGGGCCGAGGCGGTGCCACTCCAGAGCCGCACCCGTGCGCTCCGTTTGCGTTCCGTCCTCCGCCCTATACACAGCGATGTTGTTTTTTCAGTGCTCGGCCCCAGGGGTCCAACGGCCGGCCCGATCACGGGCCCCACGTGCCGAAAGGAGGAAAGACGCCATCGTCGGAGATCTTGGTCCGTCTTGAGACCCTGGCGGCCCCAGCTGTCTTCTCCCCTGTCGCCGCGTCGTTCGTTCCCCCTTTGGTGCTCGTGTCCTCGTCGCCATCGTCCTGCGAGTCTTGCGGACTGGTGCAGGGCTATCCCTGAGCCGGCGGAGAGTTCGGAAGTTTTTTGATTAATTAGCCTGGATCCACTGTTGATGGCCCCTGTGTCAAATGACGGGCCCCCGAGGCCGAAATACTCGAATGCCTGGGTTTCCAGACTTCGACGGCATGCTTCTTTCATGGAGTGTACACCAAGAGGTCTGGACCCCTTCCATGGGACAAGCTTTTCATCCTGAGTCGTTTTTTTGATGGCCCCGAGGCCCGGTTAGAGCTCCCGGAGACCGTTGTTTTTGACACGACGCGAGGGGTCTGGGTTTCTGGCACTGGCCACACCCAGGAAAATCAATCAGAGTGTACATCGGTGCATACGCATACACATGTTACATACACACGTTTACCTATAAGTATGTATGCTTACATGCATACATGCATGTACGTCTGCATGTATGGATGGATGGATTGATGTGTATGTATGCATGTATGTATATACCTATATGTATGCATGCATGCAGAAGTGCATGTAGGCATGTCTGTTTGTATATGTGTGTGCGTGGTTTGTACGTATGCTTGTACATGTGTATGTATGAATGTATGCATGTATGTATGTATGTATGTGTGTATGTATATGTGTGTGTGTCTGTATGTATGCATGTTTGTATGCATGCGTGGTTTGTACATACGTATGTGCATATGTATGTATGCATGTATGTATGTATGCATGTATGTATGTGTGTATGTATGTATGTATACATGCATGTTGGTGTGTATGCATGCATGTATGTATGTATGTATGTATGTACGGCTGTATGTATGTATGTATACATGCATGCATGTGTTCGTGTATGTATGTATGTATGTATGTATGTATGCATGCATGCATGCATGCATGCATGTATGTATGCATGTATGTGTATATGTATGTATGCATGTATGTATGTATATGTATATGTATATGTATATGTATATGTATATGTATATGTATATGTATATGTATGCATGTATGCATGTATGCATGTATGCACGTATGTATGTTTGTATGTATGTATGTATGTACGTACGTATGTATGTATGTATGTATGTGTGTATGTCTGTCTGTCTGTCTGTATGTATGTATGTATGTATGCATGTATGTATGTATGTATGTATGCATGTGTGGATGTATGTATGTGTTTATGTATGTGCGCGTGTATGTGTGTTTGTGTGTGGGGGTAGGTAGGTCGGTAGGTAGGTCGGTAGGTAGGTAGGTAGGTAGGTAGATAGGTCGATAGGTTTGTATGCAGACATGGAGGTATGGAGGTATGCACGTATGTATGTATGTATTCAGGGTTTGTGCATGTTTGTGTGTATATATATACACATGTACGTGTCCACTCATTGTTACGTATATGTGTGTGCGTGCGTTGGCCACAGGGGCGACGCGCATGCTCAGACATCTTCTAGTATGAGCTCTGTGACGGGCGCTCTCTGGCCATGCCGCTCGGGGAACGATGTGCTGTAAGATCTCGTACTACGCCTGCTCGGGTCGGTCGGGGGGGGGCTCCGGCTGCTGGTGTGTCCTTGTGCACCCCATGCTCAGGTCGAGATTCGGCTGGGGGACCCCAAGGACCTCGGGCTCGAGCCCGCGAGGGTGCTGGTACGCCAGGACCTGCCCAGGCAGGAGCACCTGAACGTGGCCGTGCGGCGCCTGAGCTCCCTCGGCCGCGAGGCTACCGCCCGGGGGGGAGGGTCAGAGACGCGCCTTCGGCAGCAAACCACGGGAGCTCTCTGCATGTCGCCGATATTCCGTCACTGTCCAGCTGCCTCTGGCAGTGCCGCCACCGTTCGTTCCTGCGCAGCGCTCCAGGCGGCAATTGCCCCAGGTCAGTATCGTTTAACCGATCCCTATCTCCATCCCCATCCACATCTCGAGCCCCACCGTCTCACCACCTCAGTTGGGGATACGCCCCTCGAAACCCGAAGAGAGCAGCCTATATCCCCATCCAGGGGGGTAAATCGGCCAGTGGGGCCCAGCCCACGCTGGTGGGCCTGGGGATCGGTTAAGCGATGCTCACCAGGGAGGCGCCACATGGTCGCCCAGGGCCCCCCGGGGAGCAGGACTGGTGCACACGCAACTGGGTGCGATGAGAGGGTTGGGCGGGCTCCTCCAGAGACGGCAGAAGCCATGGCAGGCAGCGCTCATGCATTCCTCCGCGCCTCCACGTGCCGTGGAGTGCACGGTGGCGGCGAGTGCGTCAGCATGCGCTGGCGTCTGGTGGTCGAGGAGAACACAGAGGTTTCCTCTAAATAGCGCGTCGTTCCGCCGGTTCTGGCTTTTGACGCTGCGGCGCGACATGCTGCCACAAGCCAGTTCCAAGGCTTCAACGTCTCGAGCCTTTCCGAGCCCCCCCCCCCTCGCAGCAGAGCGACACGATATCCGCTCTCAGGGCAGAGCGTGTCGCTGGAGCCGCTGCAGCGATATCCAAAAGTTCTTGACCGTAGTCAAACATGCACTCTCTGAGCCGGCTGGGGGGATGAGGTGCCTCAGCACTAGCTCCGACGAGCAGGATGTGGAGGCGAGGTTCGAGGTTCTGGGTTCGAGAGGGTGTGTTGGCCCTTCTAGCCTTGGGGGCCGTTTTCGTGCCCTGGGGCCGTCAACAACGGATCTGGGGTGAGCCGTTGCTCCAGATGGACCTTTGTTTTGGAGGGGTCTGGGGTTGATTTTGAACGGATATGTCCCTTCTTGACAGATGTTGTCTGGCCCATCCAGTTCAGGCCTCTGGCCTCCTCCATTGCACTCTCTGCTATCGAAGATGGGGCGCTCCAGGCACGTATACGGTGCACGGGGGCGTTCGTCAAGGAGTGTGCCCATGAGGCTTCAGACCCTCGAGGGTTATGTACCTGATGAGGTCGGTGGTGATAGACATGGCCACGCCTCAATTGGTGTTCCACCAGCTTCTAGGCCTTGGGCTCCTTTCCTTGTCCCAGGGCCCCCTTTTAACCCAGACTCCTCACCGTAATGGAGCCGAGACCCTCACGCGCCATGAACACATCGCACCAGGATGTGTGCTTCTGCTGCTGTCGGGGCCTTTGGGGGGCCCTCGCGGAGCCCCGGGACCGTCGTCACAAGGCCTCAGGATGAGAGGCAAGCCCCAGTGGGCCGAGATCTCTGGGGTCCCAGGTCGTGGAACAATCTTGGCGTCGGGGCGTTTTGATTGTGATCGTTTTCTTATTCACTGTTTTGCCGATCGGCGCAGGCCCCCTCGCACCCCCTCTCCCCCCCCCTCCCATGGAGTGGAGCTTGGCTGTTTTCGGCGCCTGTTTCGAGCAGGTGCGGTGTCCCCCATAACGGATGCCCTGTTGCAAACAGTCGTACTAAGCAGAGGTCCGGAGCCAGACCCCCCCTCCAAACCCCCCTCCGGCCCATGTCGAAACGCCGAATAAGGAAACGTTCACATTGCAACGTCAAAAAACCAGCCTGTCGTCAGGTGCCCCACAGGAGTTGCCGATCCCAGAGGCCCAGGGGCACCACAGGGAGCTCAACGACGAACGTGCCCACAAAATTTCTTATCGCAAGATTTCATGCTCCCACTGCAGTGGAAGTACGGTAAGTTCGCGTTGCGTTTACGCGGTGGCTGCCCCAGCTGGGGCCCTCAGGGTTGAGCGGCGCCAAAGGCCAGGAGCCGACGGGCATCGAACGAGCTGCGTTGTCGGAGAGCCGCGCGCGTGGACCGGTGAACGATCCACGCGGTGTCGGAAGCCAGCGGTGGCGTCATCGCGGCGTGAGCCTGCCGCAGTCGCCCTGGGTGGAGGCTCGGCCAGGTTGGTGGGCCAGGGGGGGCTGGCTTTGCAGGAAGGGCTGGGGCCAGACCTCCGACTCGATGCTGTCTTCTGGCAGCGTGGATCCCTGGAGGTCTGGACCGTTCATGCCCAGGGCTGGCTCTTCATCCCAAGCCGTTCTCTTCGCGGTCCTGGGCCCCGGGAGGGCCCCTAGAGGCCGAAGCGGCGCAGAAGCCGCCCGTATAGGGGGGGTAGCTCGACGTACACACCACGCCGCTTGGCCGGCCAAGGAGCCAAAGATTTCGGCGAAGGGATTGGGTATATAGGCGCTCCAGCATCCCACAGCTTGGCAAGCTGGGGCGTCTATACCCCGAGCTTCTTCGCCGGCTGGACGGCTTGGTGTACACGCTGGTCGTTGAAAGTAGATATCCTTGGACTCCCACATCCCAATCTCTAGCGCCTTCCTAATCGGCATGGTCTTGATGTGTTTTTTTCCTCCCTGGGAGGGCCTGGACCCAACCTGCTTGATGCGCCTTCCTGCTGCGTGCTTTTACCTACCTCTTCCGACCGACGGGGTATGCATCGAGCCCCTCCCAGGGGAGGCCGGGGTTCGCCCGAGGGCTGGTCGGGGGGACTTCTTCGGCGGGTGGCTCGCCACGGGCACGGGCCCGCGGGGGGCCCAGCGCCTCGACGGCCGCGCCGTGCGCTGCCCCGCACCGAGGGCCTCGCGGTGGAGTTAGCCGTCCTCGGCTCGATGGGGAGAGCGGCGGAGGGCCCCCCCCCTCCCCAGGCACAGCCAAAAAAAAAAACACGCTGCCCCGCGAGGACGTCGGCGGCCTGCTCGGCTTCGACCCGCACCCGGAGTCCCTGGAGGACGTCACGCCCGAGTGCCAGCGCCACCGGGACGGGCTGGACTCCGCGAGGCCGGCCCGGGCGTGGAGGAGCGGCCCTCTGCCGTCGGAGTGGCCGCCGGCGCACGGGGGCCTGTGACCCCTTCCCCCCTCCGCGCGCAGGCCGGTGCTTCAGTCGGGCACGTCCCTCTACAGGGGGAAGAGTCCACAAGAGTTCCAAAATAGTTCGGGGACTGTGTTTGAACTAGTTTTGATATTTTTGAAGTTGTTTTGGCTATCTTTGTTTTTCCAGCCAAATCTGCCTGCAGGAGGACATGCCCGACCGAAGCCTGTGCGCCTGGGCCCGGCGTCCCCCCCCCCGGCCGTTCCCCTAGCGGCCCCTGGAGGCCGCGCACCGGCAGCCGCTCTGGCCCCGAGTGCCGCCCCTGCGCTCGGGCCTCGTGCCGAGGGGCCCCCGCTCGCAGCGGGGCTGGAAGGCCCGCTGGGAGAAGATCAAGGCCCGGGGCGGACGAAGCCCAAGCAGGAGGAGGAGGAAGGAGGGGGAGGAGGAGGGGGAGGAGGAGGAGGAGGAGGAGGAGGGGGAGGAGGAGGAGGAGGGCGAGGAGGGGGGGGAGGAGGAGGAGGAGGAGGAGGAGGAGGAGGAGGAGGAGGAGGAGGAGGAGGAGGAGGAGGAGGAGAGGAGGAGGAGGAGGAGGAGAGGAGGAGAGGAGGAGGAGGAGGAGGAGGAGGAGGAGAATGAGGAGGGGGAGGAGGAGGGGAGGGGGAGGAGGAGGAGGGAGGAGGAGGAGGAGGAGGAGGAGGAGGAGGAGGAGGAGGAGGAGGAGGCGGAGGAGGCGGAGGAGGCGGATGGGCGCTGCCCAGCCTCGGCCTCCCGAGGGCCCGCCGCCCCTCCACCGGGGCCCTGGGGCCGCCAGAGGGCATCTTGGCGGCAGAAGGCCCTGCTCAGCAGAATGCACTACAGCATCCTGTTTTGTGCATACAGTGCCGTTTTTAGTACATGCTCCGCCTGCGGATCATGTATTAAAATGCAGGGGTTTATCATTAAGAGCAACGATGAGTTCATGCATACATTTAAGCATAACTGAAACATGTATTTTAATCCCATAATGTTAAAATCCGATGTAGTAAACATTGCCCTGTACATGCGATATCCAGTAACAGCAGCAGCAGTATCCTATTCTTGTACGTGGATACAGGAGGCCGTCCGGGAGGAGGCCATGTTGGGCGGCGAGCGAGGGGGGGGGGCATGAAAAGCAGAAGGCCTTCCTAGAAGGTGGCGGGACTGATCAGAAGCCCTTGCGCCTGCAGACCAGTTGTCGGTGTCTTAGGGGAAGGCTGGGAAATGTTCTCAGAAGGCCAGGAGGCTTCTGAGCCTTCTGAGGAGGCCCGCCTCCTCTCACTTCCCCCCCGCGCTAGCCGCCAATGAACGCCGCAGCATCCTGTGTTGCACATGCAGACAAGGGGCCATACGAGAGGAGACTCCCTGTGAGACCACAGGGGACACCCCACGGGAGACAGCAAGGGGGGGGGGCAATGCGGGAGACGCGGCAGCGGGCTCGCCAGCCCCCCCCCCCCCCGTGGCGCGCAATAGCCGTGTGGCGGCGCGAGCCCGGGGGGGGCGGCCTCCGCTCTCGGGAGGGCCCGCGGGCCTCTCGGGAAGGCTCCTCCGCCGGAGCCTGGGGGGGGGGGGGGGGGGGGGGGGGGGCTGAGGCGTCGCCAGAGTGGGGGGGGCGACAGCTGGGGGGGGGCAGCGAGGGCTGCCACAAAAAGGTGCCCTACATGGGGCCCCGATCCCGCAATCTCGAGTTCCGTCGGGCCCTGTGGCGTTGCACCGTGGCCCCCACTGCTTCCACGCCGTTCGATCGTGCGGGGTGCGTTGGGCGCCGCGCGATGGCGGGGCGATGAGTCGGGGGGGCGGCGAGGGCTGCAGAAGAGGGGCCCTCCAGGGAGGCCCTGGAGAAGTGGGGAGGACCTCCTGCCCTCGACCCCTCGCGCCCCTCTCGGAGGGGCTCGAGGGATACACCGCGTCGCTGCGTCGGCCGAGGAGGAGGAGCGCTGCTCGAGCATGCCCGTGGACTGCTCGGCCCTGTGCAGGGCACGGGCGAGCAGTCCATCTGCCAGCCAGACAAGCCAGCACTGCACATGAATATAGTACGCGGGGCCAAGGGGTCCGGCGAAGGAGTTGGGCGTATGGGCGCTCCAGCGTCCCACGGCTGGGCAAGCTGGGGCGTCTATGCACCGAGCATCCTCGCCGTCTGGACGACGCGGTGTATATTCGAGCCCCCCCACCCTTCGTGGCCCACACATGATGGCCAACAGCGACGCAACCACAGGGTATTGACTGCATTGGCCAGAGTACGATACGTGACGCTCGAGTGATGCCGGTGCCCTGGCGCCCTTGCCTAGCCCCGCGGGGGGGGCAGTCCCCATGCCGGGTGTTGCTCGAAGTGCCCCTGGCCCGAGGTTCCCCCCAGGAGTTCCAGGGAGGCCCTCGCGGCCTCGAGAGCACCCCTCACGGAGCCCAGAGGGCCCCGGGGGCTCCAGAGTTGAGCGGCAAGCTGGGGGGCACCCCGGCGCTCCACTCTGGAGCCCCCGGGGCCCTCTGGGCTTCGTGAGGGGTGCTCTCGAGGCCGCGAGGGCCCCCTTGGAACTCCTGGGGGGAACCTTGGGCCAGAGGCACCTCTCAGCCTTTGGCAACTCCCGACCCTGAGGGACGACACGGGCGCAGTCTCCAGCCTCCAGCCTGCCGCCCCTGCGTTGCCCCGGACACACACACACACACACACACACACACACACACACACACACACGGGGCAGGCGCGTGCCGCGCCGGCGTGGCGGTGGCCCCTCCGCGCCGCCGAGAGGCCGCCGCGGTCGTCCGGGGCTGGGCGATGCGCGTGGCGTCGGGCACGGCAGCGCTCGGGTCGGCACGGCACGAGCCAGCGGTACGGCAGGTTCATGCGGCGATGGCGCGCCGGGGCCGCTGGCGAAGGCGCTCAAGGTTGAACTCGGGCGTCGCTGAATGGGGGGCGATAGATGGAGGGAGGAGAGAGAGAGAGAGAGAGAGAGAGAGAGAGGTGCACTTCTCGGGCCCTGGAGGATCCACTGTGGGCCCTAAAGGGCCCCTGCAGGGGCCATAGAGGGCCCCTTTTCTGCAGCCCTCGCTGCCCCCCCCCTTTGATCGCCCCCCCATCACGCGACGCCCAACGGACTCCGCATGATCGAACGACGTGGAAGCATTGAGGGGCACCGTATAACGCAACAGGACCCGACGGAATTTACAGATTGCACGATCGGGACCGCGATCAGCTTAAGGTTGAACGGTCGACGCGGTGTCAAAGTCCCTTGCGCGCGCCGACGCCGCACGAACCTACCATATCCATGTGTACTATCCATGCTCAGCCACGCGCAGGGGGGGTATGGGGGAGGGCGAAGGCTTCTCAGAAGCACCCCTGCTTCTTCGAGGGCGCGGGCATTATCTGTAGATGTAGGGCCAGCGCCTTCTGAGAAGCAGCCTCCTTCCGAGTAGTCTTCTCCCCTCTCCCTACCCCCTGGTGCGCGCCGTCAGCATTCGGGAGGGAAAGAACACACGGACACAATCAATCGTGGACTCCCAGGAAGGTATGGGGAAATTGTGGGACATGGGTTGGAGGACGAGAGCCCCGAAAATCTGGGCAAATTTCGGGGATCCTGGGAGTTGTGCCTATTTGTTTGTCCGTGTGGCCCTGGGCCCCCTGGAACTCGTCCACGGCCGCGCGGTGGGGACCCCCTCGGCCGCGCCCCCCCTCCCGCGGCTGCAGGGCGGCCCTGCGCCGGGGGGGCACCCCTCCGCGCTCCGCGCACCCCCGCAGGGCGGGCGCTCCGCGCACCCCGTGGGGGCGCCTCGCCCCGCGGTGCGGGCCGCGCGTCTGCGGGGGGATCCCGCTCGCCTCGGCCCCCCTCGAGGGGCGATGGCTGTCGGCGGCGCCGTGCGCGCCGGTCGTCGAGAGCATTGCGGAGGACGATCACTGGAGGGGAAGCGTGTTGCCAAATCATCTCCAGATGTCTAAAGGATGATTCAAACATGCTTTAAACGTGTAAAACAGCATACTCTAAACGCTATTCGAACAGTTCCAGACATATTCAACACATTCTTAACTCAATGATAGGAATGTTAGGGTGTCCATGGTCACGGCATCCACAACGAAAGTAGGTATTGCTGGACTCCCAGATCCCAATTTACGTCAAGCTCCTTCCTACTTCAAGGATCGGCATGCTTTTGCTGTGTGTTGTTATTCTCCGTTGAAGGGCCTGGACCCAATCCGCTGTGTCCGCCTTCCTACTTCATGCTTTTGCCTACTTCTTCCGACCGACGTGCAACGGGCACTCACTAACGGGTACTTCTTGGAAATATGCCGAGAGTTGCCGATTGCCGCTTTAGGGGCCTCTTTCTGGCACTGCAGCGTTGCCCACAGCGGGGAGGGTTGGGTTCGCCGGGTCCCTGGCCAACGTGCCCGTCAGTGGAGTCCCCGTTGAAGGGGCGCCGAGTATGGCCGCCGCCCCCGCCCCGCGCGCGTGCCCCGTGCCGGATCAGCTTTCTGTCGTCGGGGTGGTGTGGTGTGCAAAAGTCGTGCCCCCAGGAGATATGCAGAGGTTTCGTGCGCAAGCCCCCCTTCCACGGTCCAGTGCCAGACCAGACAGCTTGCGGGGGCGATGCGTACACGAGTCGTGTGCCCAGCCCCCCCCCCCCGGGGTGTGCCTCCGGGCTGCTGCGTCACCCCAGGTCGAGCTTCGAGGGCCCAGGCGCCCGGGAAAAGGCGCCCCCCCCCCACACCCACCCCCGACGCCGGAAGCCACGAGAAAGATCTACTGTAGCTGTCTTTCTTGTTCATCGCTGTCTCCCTCTCGAATTTTTGTGTTTGCTGCATTTTCTGCTTCTTTTTTTGTTTCTCTCTCTCTCTCTCTCTATATATATATATATATATATATATATGTCTTTCTCTCTCTCTCTCTCTCTCTCTCTCCCTCCGTGCTGCCGCCCTGATTGTGTTTCCCTCCGATGTTGGAAGATTTGGCCGATGAGGGTGTCTGCGCAGCGTCTTGTCCGCTCTACTGGCTCCCTCCTCCTGGTCTCGCTTCTGGCTCCATTGTCTGCCTGGCGAACCTCAGTTACTCATGTTTGGTGTGGATGTTGGTGCGTGTGGGGTTGTCGATTGATCAACTAAGTGTTCCCTTGCTCCTAGATAGTGTCGTGTCTCGTGACCCCGTGCCCCCCCCCCCGCAGGGTCCGTTTCTATCCGATGGATTAGGTTCGATGTTGATGCTGTCCGGCTCGATCTGAGTCGATTCCGATTTGATGACGATACGATGGCCCATTGTTTGCGTGGCGCTCTTGTGCATCTCGGCGCAGCTGGTCCGATTCGATTTCGGCCCCGTGTCGCTGCGGCCCGATTTGGCTCACGTTCTGATCCGATCCGACTTCTTGATCCGATGCTTATTGATCCTGCACGTGTTGGCGTGGTGGTTATCGCGACACCAGATTGCACGCTGCCACGAGTTGTTCACATGTCGTCGTCAAGTGCGGTGAGCTCGAGGGGCGCCCTACACAGGCCAACTCGGGGACCCCCAGGAGCCTCTCGGAGGCCTCTGGGAGCCATCTTGGGGTTCTCTTGGGGCGGTTTTGGGGCGCCTTTGGGGTCCTCCCACTTGCGGCCCTCTTGGGACCCGTTCGTGGGACTACTCCCGTGGGGCGCTCCTCGGGGTGTGGGCCCATCCGAGGGCCCCCTTGGGCAATCTTCGGGCCATCCTGGAGGCCTCAGGAGCTAACTGGCAGCGAAAGGCACGACCGGACAGCAGACAGTGCTCCTGTGAGGTCTTTGCCGCTACGGAGCATCCTCGCTTGGCTCCGTGGCCACCTCGTGCTGGAGGCCTCGAGGAGCCGGCCCCCTGGTGGTTGTCGAGTCCTAGCTCTGGCTTGTGGCGGCCGTTCGGGGCGATCCTGGCACCCCGGAACGCTCTCGGCGAGGCGGCGCAGCCGTTGGAAGGCATCCTGCGGCTGGAGTGCCGCCAAGAAGAAACGAAGACGTACGAATACATCAAATCTCGGCTCTCGAATCTACAGCAACACCAACACCAAGGATCTGCGATGGATCTGGGTAGCAGCACACACTGAACGGTAAAAAAAGCATGAAGCCGCCTACGTTTCACGACACCGAGCTGTTTTTTCCGGTATCGCGGCTACGGCCTCCACCGCCGCGCCTTACAGGACGCGCGCGGGCGCCCACGCGCTGCGCGCGCGGATCCAGCGCTCACTCGCTCGCTCGCCCCCGCCCCCCCCTCCCCGCGGACCTTCCCCTCGCCCCTCCTCACCCCGCCCCACCCCCGAGAACGGAAGAACAAACAAATTGACCCCGAACGGGCAACAAAACGTAGTTCTTGAAAGCTGAAACAGCCCCAAGCGTCTGCAGCACCATGTGAGAGTCAGCCCCCCCCCTAGCGGACGTTCCCCTTCGCCCCCCCTCGCCGAACGACGAGATCGGTCGCTACCGAGTTTGTTTCAAATTCCGGTATCGATCGCTACCGATTTGTTTCAAAACCGGTCGCGACCGATTCCGAGCGCCGATCGCCTGTTCTTCATCGCGACCGAATGATCTAGGTAACGGACGTTCCCCTTGGTACGAGGACTTCCTTGGAGCGTCTCGGCACATTCTGGAGCGCCTCGGCGCATCCTTAGAACGCCTCGGCTCCTGGGAGCGCCTTGGCGCATCGCCTCACTCCCTCCCTCCGCCTCTTCGATCCTCGATTCTTCGACCTCCTCGATCCTCGGCCTCCTCGATCCTCGATCCTTCGGCCTCCTCGATCCTCGTCCCTTCGGCCTCCTCGGTCCTCGACCCTTCGGCCTCCTCGGTCCTCGACCCCTCGACCTTCTCGATACTCGATCCCTCGACCTCCTCGGTCCTCGACATCCTCGATCCCGATCCTCGACCCTCCTCCACGCCCCCGGGAAGGCGCGGCGCAGCGAGGCGTTCGCCCCCGGGGGGGCCGCGGGCGACGGCGACGCGACCGCCCAGCTCGTCAGCAACGGCAGGGAGGCGATGTGCGTGTGTCCTGGGGAGGAGCCCCACGAGGCAGAGGAGGAAGAAAGAGGTGCCCCTACCCAGAACCCAGACCCCCTCGGGTCACGACCACAATCACGACGCAGGGTGGTGTTTCGCTGGTGTTGGCCTCTGGGGGCCTTCACCAGGCCCCACGAGGCAGAGGAGGCAACGGTACCCACTCGGTCGCAAATCAGGGGAGCCGCGTAAACCCTCTTACTTCTGTCTTCGGCGTCGGCTGGCGTCGATTAGCGTCTGGGAGGCGATGGGAAAGCCTGATTTAGCGTCGATTAGCGTCGATTGGCGTCGATTTAGCATCGATTAGCGTCGATGTAGCGTCGACTAGCCTCGATTCACAAGAGCCGACAAGATGGTGCGGGAGGCTCCCATGAGTTGCCACCGAGAGGTACCCATACCGCTGCCCTTCGCTCGTGTTCCCCCTTTCCGGCCTCCTGGGAGGCCTTCGTCACCACCGCTGGATTCGCCTCGAGATCCTGGTCAGAACGCGCCCGGGGCAAGGTCCGGGGAGTAGCGGTATCGGTTTTTATTGATTTCCCCAAGAAGGGCAGGTGCGGGGCGAGGGGCCCAAGAACTCGGACGAAGTGGTTCTTCTCCTCTCCCTCTCCCTCCCGTGTAGGTGAGAGTGCTGCTGCTGCGCCCACAGCGCGTGCAAGCAACACGCCACTGCAAGGTGAAACAGACAAAGATGTTCTGGGGTAATTCAAGTCGTGCGCGTGGACGAAACTCGGACGATCGGGTTTTTCGATCCAGCAGTTTTTGTGATTCCAGCATGTGGGCTCTATAGGCCTCCCAGATGGGGTCCAAGCAGGCAGAGACACGTGGCGCTCGGAAGCAAGACATGGGAGCTTTGCGCGCCCTCGCAGTTCCGTTTTCAGAGTGCGTTAGCGTCGGCTAGCGTCTGGCAGTAGATGAGATGGCGTCGATCAGCGTCGATTGGATTCGTTTTAGCGCTTCTATGAGCGTCGATCAGCGTCGATTCGCAAGAGCCAAGCAAGATGGTATGGTGTCCCTCGGGGAGGAGCCCATGGGCAACGACAAGGTGGCCCAGAACTCTTGCTCCCAAATAGGGTCGGGGGATCGCGCCGCATCGTCGATGCATCGCCGATCCGGCTCGATGTGGAGCCCGATTGTCTCCGCGGCGGCGTCGCCGATGCATCGCCGACCGCGCAGCTGATCACCACCCGCAGAGAGGCGATGTGCGTCAACGACGGGGCGGCCCAGAACCCAGACCCCCTTGGGTCACCACCAAAATCACGACGCAAGGTGGCGTTTCGCTAGTTTGGGGGGCTTTTACCAGGCCTCGGGGCCCTCAGAAAACGACTCAGGATGAAAAGCGGGTCCCTGGGAAAGGGTCGAGACCTTCGGGTGTCGACCTTCAGGACAATCCAGGGAGGCAATGGGCGTGTGCCCCAGGGAGGGGCAGTCAAGGGGCGGCGACAGGGAGGCCCGGAGCTCGCACACTGTGGTTCTCCAAAGCCGCGAAGACGCTTTCGGAGCTCCGCGCGCGTCTCTTAAAAGGGGGCGCTGGGCCTCCCCTGGCGGCGCCTCCGGCGCCCCCCCCCTGGCGTTCGATCCGCGCGCCAGGGTGGGGGGGGTCCAGCGCAGGTCCAGGAAGTCCAGCGGACCGTCGAACGTGTATGTTTACGCAGGTGTGTCTTCCTCCTGCATGGGGACGGCGGCAGGGGGGCCCCGAGATCCTGGCGGTTATGTTCCTGTCGAGCCGAGCATGTTCGCTCGGTTGCGGAGCCCAGGGCCTCACCAGATCGATCCGCCTTGAGCACTGGCGCAGAAAGATGGGGTCTAGGGCTCGGGACGTGGGTTTTCACAAGGCTTCCATGTTTGGAGACGTCGGATCTCAGGGGGCATCGACAGGGGGGGGCTGAATCTTGGACGACGTGGTTTCCGATTTCCAGGGCGATACAGATACCCTGGGGAAGGGGCCGGGAGCTTGGAAAAATTGTTCCTGGGGCCGCGGACTCAAAAACACATCGTCGTACGTTTGGGGGGTATGGGCTCAGGGGGGACTGCATCGGCCACCCATCGCCCATTCATCGCCGGTAGGGGCCTGCTAGCCCACAACGTGCGCTTCTCGGGGGCCGATGGCCGAACTGTATATCGGCGAGGCGCTGCCGATTCCAAGCCAATGCTCCCGCCCCGTGGGCCAGTCCCGCCCTTTCGTTCCCGTCAGGAGCCGCCCGCGCGCTTCGAGGAGGACGAGGACACTGAGACCCCAAGGGACGTCAAAACCGGAGTGGGGAGGGCCAGGCGAGGCAGCGGTGGGCATCCCTGGCGTTCTTCGTCCGGAGGTTTTTGTTCGCCGCCTCGGCGGGATCGGTTCTCAGAGGAGGAAAAGGCACCCATACCGCGACCCTGCGCCCGTTTTCCCTTTTTTGAGCCTCCTGGGCGGCCCTCGCTGCCACCGCTGGATTCGCCCCGAAATCCTGGTCAGAACGCGCCCCGCGAGAGATCTGGGGTGCAGCAAAAGCTGTATTTCTTGCTTTCCCCAGCATCAGTTCAGGGTGGACCCTGGGAGGGTTCCCGGGGGACCGATCTGTTGAGTGGAGTGGGGCCTGGCTGGAGAGTCCGCCGTGGCTTCGGCCGGCCCTCCTCCGGCGAGCACGCCACGGAGGGCCGGGGATCTGCGGGAGGGGGCTACCGTGTATGGGTTTCTGCTCGGCAGTTTTGCGGGCTCCTGCAGGCCCTCCTCGGGCCCTGGCGCCCGTCGAGGGCGGTGCAGGAGGAAGGGCTGGCCCCGGGGAGGCGCCCCGGGGTCCGTAGCACCGTGCCCCTCAGGACCCGTGCCCCCCTTCGCGGTTGCGAAGCACCGCTCTCTTCTGGGCTGCGCGTGGGAGGGGCCCCCCGCTGGGGCGACCTTCAGTGAGGGCGGGGGCGGGTGTTCGTCGACGAACCAACAACACACACCCACACCCATAGGGGGGTCGGAGAGGGCTATGGGTGCGTGTTGTCGGATGGGGGTCCCCGCTCGGACGGGAGCGTTCCCCAGGGTCCGACAACCCGCACCCATACCCATAGCCAGTCCTCCTCTCAACGACCCCCCTATGGGTATGGGTGTGTGTTGCTCGTTCGTCATTCGTGGCCTCCACAAATCTCAGGAGGGGAAGAAACCCACAGACAGAATCAATCGTCGATCCCCGGGAAAATGGGGAAACGATGGGAAGGGGGGGGGGGAAGACGAACACCCGGGAAGCATGGGAAAACCCGAGGACTCCTGGGACGTGTGTCTACTCCTCATCTGTGTGTCCCGGGGCCCCTTCAAGACCAGAGAGGCCCGCGCGGGCCGCCGAAGGTCCCAGTCCGTGCCCCTGTTCCCCCGCTCTCTCCCGCCAGGGGGAGTACGTCCAGAGCCTCGCCGGCGGCAGGGGCACGGAGGGCGTCGTCGTGGAGCTCCAGACGGGGAGGCTCGCCGAGGCAGAGCAGCCACGACTGGGCCGGGCTGTCGTCCTTGTCCCCCCCCCCCTTGTGGGACCTCCCGTCGGCTCCGAGGATGGGCCAATTGTCCACCACCGCTACCATAGGTAATAGGTACGACAGGGGGGAAGGGAGGCTGGGGAGGTCCTCCTCCTCCTCTTCCTCCCCCTCCTCCTCCTCCTCCTCCTCCTCCTCCTCCTCCTCCCCCTCCTCCCTCGTCCTACCTATGGTAGTTGTGGTGGAACATCGGCCCTGCATCCGACGCGCCTCTCCGCGAGGTCGACGCGGTGGGCTCCCCCTGGGGCGGGCGAGGAAGGTACAGCTCCGCCAGTCGTGGCTGCTCGGCGAGGCGACGTGGGACTGAGTCGCGGCGCCGAGCGTCGCTGTCTGTTCCGTTAGCCGCAGGAGGCTTGCGACGCACGCGCGGCGGCACTGTCCTCCTCCCGTGGGCCGGGAGGCGTGTTCACCAGAGCGAGGGGGCCGAGCGGTCATTCATGGTTTGTGGGTGCGTGGCAGAAGTGGCGTTCCGTCCGGCGGGTTCTGCCCTTCGTGTTGTGCTTGCTGCTGCTGTTGCTGTTGTTGTTGTTGCTGTTGAGCTCGCATTGCTGAAGAATTAGTGCTGGCCCCCCTCCGGTAACAAATGCAGTTTTCCAATTGAAGTGCCTTTCCTTGGGCTCGCACCCGTTTTCTTATTATCAGGTGAAGTATTCCTCCTCAAATTGCGTCCTTGGCCCCTGGACTACTACAACAACAACGGTCCCCTTTATGTTACTGTTGATAACGAATCTCCATGTCTCAAGAGTATAAGTATTGTTGATACCCCCTGCCCTGTAAGCATTGCGCGCGTTAGTTACAGCGTTTCTCCCGGGACTCGCATCCTGTTTATAGAAGGGAGGGTGAGGCGTCATCTAACTGGATCCTTGGCTTCCGATATTACCCTAGACTCCCGCCAAATACTTCCTCACCATGCATTCCCAAATCGCGCTCTCGCACGTGATTGTCTCACAATGTATGCAGGAATAGCGCTCTCGCGTGGGTATTCCTAGCAATGTATTAGAATGCCGCGCCCTCGACACTGAGGAATCACGCTCTCGCGGTGGATTTCCTGACGATTGATTTGGGAATCGCGCTATCGTTCGAGACCTCGTCGCGATTCATGCAGGTATCACGCTTCAGCAACCCGTTTGTGTGTGTCCCTTAGGAGCTGCACGAAATACATTGTGCAGGTATGAAAGATATTCCCCAAAGGGGATACGATCGAAGACGAAGAGGGCGGATATCGAGTGTTTGGGATACGAGTGTTGAATGGCACGCGCGCAGATAAGAGCGAACAGTCTGAAACTGATTGTTGTTGTTATTGTTGGTGGTGTTGTCGTTATTGTTGGATTCTGAATATTGTTGATCCCCCCCCTCGGGGCACATGGTATTCTATCAATGAAAGTGCTTCTCCAGGGGCTCGCACCTTGTTTTCTTACAAGGGAGAATGGGGGGGTCACCAAACTATGCCCCTGGCCCCCGAGTTACAACAACAACGGCTCCCGCCAGATACTTCCTCACCATGCATTCCTGCGTGATTGTCTCACAATGTATGCAGGAACCGCGCTCTCGCGTGGGACTTTCCCGCAATGTATTAGAATGCCGCGCCCTCGACACTGAGGGATCACGCTCTCGCGGTGGATTTCCTGTCGATTTATTTGGAATTGTGCTATCTCTGGAGACCTCGTCGCGATTCACGCAGGACGCACGCTTCAGCAACCCGCCTGCCCTTTTGTCACTTCCTTCCATCCGTCCTCTTTTCCCCTTCCTTAGGGGCTGCACGAAATACTTTGTGCAGGTATGAAAGATATACCCCCAAGGGGGCACGATCGAAGACGAAGAGGGCGGGTATCGAGGGTCTGGGACACACGTGTTGAATAGCACGCGAGCAGGTAAGAGCGGACAGTCTTAAATTGATGTTTGTTGTTGTTGTTGTTGTTGTTGTTGTTGTTGTTGTAGTGACTGTTGTTGTTGCTGTTAGTGTTGGTATTGTTGTAGTTGTTGTTCCTTGGTGTTGTTATTGTTGTTGTTGATGTTGACTTTTGAATTCCAAGGACACTTCTTGCTGATTCCCTCTGCCCAGTGTGACCATTCGACGTTTCGATTCAAGTGCTTCCCCTGAGGCTCGCACCCTGTTTTTTGGACAAGGGAGCATGGGGGAGGTCACCAAACTGTGCCCATAGTCCTTAGTTGAAAACAATGGCTCTCATCTTTCCTCACACTGTATTCCCGAATCGCGTTTTCGCGCGGGACGTTCTCACAATGTATACAGGAATCGCGCTCTCGCGTGGGACGTCCTCAGAATTCATTGAAACGCCGCGCCCTTGACACTGAGGAATCACGCTCTCGCAGTGGATTTCCAGACGATGTATTGGGGAATCGCGCTATCTCTCGAGACTTCCTCACGACCCATGCAGTTGTCACGCTTATAAGCCGCCTGCTCGACCTTGCCGCTTGGGCCCGCCTTCCCGACCCGCCCGTTAGGGTCCACCCGCCCGTCTGGTTCTGCCACGTGTTTCCTGTTCCTAGCCCCCCTCCTACTAATCCCGTTCTCCATCCTTCTCCCTCCCCCTTGTCCCTTCCTTCCATCCGCTCTCTCCTCCCCTGCCGTAGCGGCTGCGTGAACTACACGATGCAGGTAAGAAAGATATTCCCCAAAGGGATACGATCGAAGGCGAAGAGGGCGGGTATCAAGGGTTTGGGATACACGCGTTGAATTGCACGCGAGCAGATAAGAGCAAGCAGTCTTAAATTCTAGACGCTTCGCGTATCCCCACCAGCTTGGCTGCGCCCCAACTTTGGTTGGCTAATTCGCATGTGCGCTCACCTGTACCAGTTCCCTGGCAGCTGCAGCCTGCACCCCCCTCGCGCCGGCTCGCCCGCCGAGGCGCTGCCTGAGGTCGCCGGCCCATCGGCGTTAGGTAATTCGGCTCTTGCGCGGCCCGCTCGGACCTGACTCGCCGCTGGCGTTCTCGCCTGCGGCTGCGACCAAAAAAGTAGCCCCACCAACAGGTTGACGGTGCGCAGCCGCCTGCGTCGCTCGCGAGCAACAAAGTATCCCCACCAGCATTCAGTCCGCTGCTCGTTAGCCGCGTTTCTTGACGGCGCCTGGCATCCCTGCGCGCTCGCGAACAAAAAAGTAACCCCACTAACCCATCCAACAACGATGTCCCAGCGAGTTGGGGTGATCAGGGAAGTGCGGGAGCAAACAGGGGCGGCCGAACCTTGCGAAGGAAGGAGGGGGATAATGAGGAGGCTGGATGGGTGGACGAGGGAGCGGGGAGAAGGAAGATGAACAGGATGAGAAGGAGGAATATGATGATGATGATGATGCTGATGATGATGATGATGATGATGATGATGATGTAGATGATGATGATGATGATGATGACGATGATGATGATGATGATGATGATGATGATGATGATGATGATGATGATGATGCCGAGGACGAGGAGGAGGAAAAAGAGGAGGAGGAGGAAGGAGGAACTGGAGGAGGAGGGCAACCAAAAGGGCCAGAGGTCTCTGGGATGCCTCTCGGAACCTCTTGGGATATCTATTGGGCGCTTCCTGGTGGCCTCTTAGCACGTTTTGGGGGTCTCTTGGCGGTCCTGGAGGGGCTCTTGGGCGTCTTGGGGGCGTCTTGGGGCCGATTGGGGTCCTCTTGGGGGCCTCCTGGGGGCCTCTTGGGGGCCTCTTGGGGCCATCTTGGGGCCGCTTCCGTAACCATTTTGGCTCAAGCCACGCCGAGGTGGGTGTTGCAAGCTCGCCTTCTGCGCGCCGCCACCCCTCAGCCTCTTCCTCCTCCCCCTCATTTCGCCGGCCCTGGAGCCCTCTTTCGGGCCTCTTGGGGGCCTCTGGCGGCGGTGGGGCCGCGGGGCACGGCGCGCGGGGCGGGGCCCTTCCCCCCCTCGCCTCCACGGGCCGCCGTGCGGGTGGCTTGGAGGCGGCCTGGCTGGAGCCCGCCGCGGAGGCGGATGCGGCCTGGACAGCGGCGGTGGCGGCGGCCAGGCGCTTCGCCGAGGTGGAGCGCTACAACCACGGTGAGAGCGATGGCGCCGAGACCGAGATGAACGAGGCCGACGACTGGGACGTCGGCGGCGAGCCCTTGGCGAGCGCCGGCTGGGTGGACGCCCTCGAGCGGGCGTGGCTCCAGGACGGCGTGTCGCTGGCCACGCATGCGGGAAAGGGCGTGCAGGTGGCGAGCGTGGAGTTAGCGGGTGAGGCCGAC